TTCTTCTTCTTCTTCTTCTTCTTCTTCTTCTTCTTCTTCTTCTTCTTCTTCTTCTTCTTCTTCTTCTTCTTCTTCTTCTTCTTCTTCTTCTTCTTATTTTATATATCTATTTTAGGTTTGGATCCAAGCTTGGAACATGGTCGGAATTTCTTCGAATTTTCAGGTATCTATTGACAATTGGAAAAAAAATATATAGAAAGTCAATTAAACCACAAAAATTTGAAAAAAAAATTTTTTTAAGAATGGCCAAGTCGACGATATAATGCATTGTTTTTTGCACTATTTCGTTAACTTCACTTATTTCAAAAAATGCTGAAAATGAAAGGGAACGCCACGCTTGTATAATCAAATAAAAAACCCGGTTTTCCATACTAACGTGGACTAAACTCAGAAAGTTCTGCATCCTGAATCATACTTCAGGATTAGAAAGTTTATCGTGACAGCAGATGTTTATAAATTACGTTTTCCTTCAATCAGCCAGAACTCCTCCACGAATTAGACCAGGCATGGGCAAAGTGCATTAATGAACTCACCTAACTCCCAACGCCAATTAGCCCAATGACTATAAAAGAAACGGTCCTATTGTATTGGGCAGGAAGTCGGAGAGGCGAAACCACGATACTTGGGTCTGAGTGGGGGTATGGTTACATCAGTCAACGCGCAAAAATTTGAATGTTTGAATGAAAAATATGAATATATTTCTCGCTGTATTTTGCATTGTTAAAAAGTATCAATTAATATTCTATATCAACTTCTTCATGAAATTCCGTGGAATAAATCACTCGGAATTGAATACTTCGGCAGCAAATGAATTGAAAAACATTGGTGAAAAGCTCTTTTAATTTTTGTTCGTGTTGATGACCAAGCGGGGATTGAGGTTAAGGAACCGCAGAATAAGCAGCACGATGGAATGTAAGTGGCGCAACGAGTGGGTCACTGGCAGTGTGTCACTCATTGCGAATCACCCCACCCGGGAAATTTCAAAATGCGTAATCACCTAATATCGATCCACCAATCGAAATACGCCACTGTAAATTTCAAAAAGTCGAACAATTCAAAAACTTGGACTGGAAGGCAGTCTAGAACAGGAATGGGCAAAGTCCGACCTTCGGGAGCCCGGGTCATAAAACCCTATTGGAATCATTATTAGAGATACAATACGGCAATTCCGTGAAGCCCAGCGTAGTCAGGGTGGGAGTAGCAGCGTGCACGAAGTCGGACTCAATTAAACACAGAGAGCGCCGCGCGTTTTCATTTCAAATTTAAAAAACCTTACGCCTAAAAATTCGAACAAATTTTCGCCAATTCAACGTGAAAAATCCTTAGTTATATCAGGGGTAATTGTTCAAACATCATGTTGCCAGAAATTTATTATTTCTTGGTTATTTTAATGAATAATTATTTCTTCAGTTCTTTAAAATTCAATCAATAAATTATGAATGTAAGATTTATTTTATAAGTTTTGCCCACTCTTGGCCAGATCACACATTTTCTAATCTGTGAACATTTTTCGATTACTTCTGCTCGATCACTCTCTGCAGCTAATTATTTTTATGTTTTTTTGGAGTAATTATTCATTACCGTAGTTAACGGGAAATGGACCAATTTTACTATTTTTAACAGGCGGATCGATATAATGAAAAAAAGTCAAAAAAGACATTAAATGATAGAATTCAAATTTCTTTTTTCGTGGTGCTTCTTCGAGGCTAAGAATCTTTTAAATTCTTTGAATCCTGCTTAGAAAATGTTCAAACAAGATTAATAAAAATTGAAAAATCCATTCACAAGTGCTTTTCAATTCATTTGCTGCCGAAGTATGCAATTCCGAGTGATTTATTCAAAGGAATTTTATGCGGGAGTTGATATAGAAAAAATGATTAATTGATATTTTTTACCAATGCAAAGTACAGCAAGAAATATTTTCATATTTTCCGTTCAAAAATTCAAATTTTTGCTCGTTGACTGACGTAACGATACCCCCACTCT